CCTCCTCCCTTCCCTCCCCCTCCTTCCTTCCTTCCCACAGCCCTCAGACGCGGAATGTGAGCTCACCATCACGATTATCGACACGTAATGTTTAGCTATCAGGGATTCGCACTCACGCAAGCGCAAGAGGTAATGCTACTCACCTGTCCGCTTTTTATGGAGTTCGTTATACGCTCCGCCATTTACTCTACGGAGCCGGGCGACATCTAGCGCCACCTCGGTCAAGGTCAAGGTGAAGCCACAGAGTAATTGGGATAATGATACTCTCGGCGGAAGAAAAAGATTGAAGGGGGAAGGGAGGGAAGGGGGGAGAGGGGGAGGAGGAGGGAGAGGGAAGAAGAGTGGATAGGGAGAGGGGTTGTGAGTGGGAAGGGGGAAGGTGGGTAGGAGGAAGGAGAGGGAAGAAGGGGGGGGGGGGTTGTGAGGGGGAGGGGGGGAGGGAGAGGGAAAAGGGGGGGGAGGGATGTGAGGGGAGGATGGGTAGGGAGAGGGGAAGGGAGGTGTCATCTTCAGGACAAAGGGGGGAAGGATGGGGAGAGGGGTCAGGAGGGAAGTCATCCTTAGGACAAATATAAGGGGGGGGAGGGGGAGGGGGGACTTAAAAGGGTATCATCCTCAGGACAACTGGAGAGAAGTTGGATGGGAAAAGGAAAGTGAGGGGGGGGGGGGAGTCATCTTCAGAACAAACAGGGAAAGACAAAGGGGGAGGGGGAGGAGGGAGGGGGGAGGTGTGTCGTCTTTGGGATCAGGGGGGGGATAAATCCTTAGGACAAACAGGGGGGGGGGGGTATGATGGGAAAGGGAAGGGGGAGATGTCATCTTCAGGACAAACAGGGGTGGGGGTGGGGGTGGGGGTGGAGGTAGCAGTTGGGGGAGGAGAAGGGAGAGGAAAGAAGATATCATCCTTAGGAGAAACGGGGGGGGGGGGTCGGGATAGGAGTGGGGAGTGTTATCCTGAGGACAAACGGGGGGGGGGGGGGGAGGAGAGTGTCAACCTGAAGGACAGACTAGGGGAGGGTTAAGAAGGGGATGAGAGAGGGAGAGGAGTAGGAGGAGGAGGAGGAGGAAGGGAGAGGAGGAGGAGGAGAAGGAGGAAGGGAGAGGAGGAGGAGGAGGAGGAGGAGGAGGAAGGGAGAGGAGGAGGAGGAGGAGGAGGAGGAAGGGAGAGGAGGAGGAGGAGGAGGAAGGGAGATGAGGAGGAGGAGGAGGAGGAGGAGGAGGATGTCATTCCGAGGGCAAACGAGGGGGGGGAGGGGATGAAGCGGAGGGGGGCGTTGGGTGCAGGGGAGGGGCGGGGGGAGTGGAAGGAGAGTGTTGTCTTGGAGGGAGACTAGAGGGAGGTCTCTATTAGGTGGGGTGGGGGCTAGAGGAATATGGCATAGGAGGGGTAAGGGGGTGTGGGAGAGGGGGGGGGGTGGCCGGATGAAGAGGATAGCGTGGGAGGATTTGCAGGAGGGAAGGAGAGGACAGATGGCTGCTTCAATTCACTGGAATTTATCCCAGGTATGAAAACAGATTAACAATAGTACAATCATAAAACGCAAGGACATATATTACGCAATACGCTTGAACGGTATATGTTTGCGAGGTTATTAGAAGTGCATAGTACATACATAATACATAATACATAATACACACACACACACACACACACACACACACACACACACACACACACACACACACACACACACACACACACACACACACACTTCCTGCTGCTTAGATTTTTAAAACTCTGGCGCACATGAAATAAGTACAATTTCCCTGGAAAATGATTCCACTTAGCACACACACACTTACGGTTATAAGTGCCTACACCAATTACCTTTTTTTCTCGGGAAATGACACTGAATTCCAGTAAAATCTTATAAGACTTGGGATCGCAAAAACAAAAATAACATTATTATTAAAATTCTGTAAGAGTACCCGGAAAAAAGTTATTTAATTTTTAATCAATATCTATATAGTTCTCATGCCGTGTTTGCTCTACCGGCGTTTCTATCAATTAAAATTCTAATACCTTTTACAAAACAATCAAAATATTCTGGTAAGCAAAGATATTAGCTCTCCTGTCTGTTATAATCATTCAACAAGGAACTCAAACTGACAGACAAGGGAACATGGTAAATATTAATAATATATGTGATCAATTCATGATGCAGCACTAACGAAATCATATGTGTTAATGAAACCTGCAAAGTGACGGTTTCCAGGAAGGGTCTGTAACGTAACTCCAAAAAAGGTATACAGGGAAAGATTCAACGCCTGCACTTTGCAAGCAATGATATTCCGGCGAACTTCTCTTAAACATAGTTCGGCATGCAGATAACACTTTTCCGATGAATTTCACTGTTAGATAATTTCTTATCGGTGTAGACAAGTGCTTAAGTCATTATGCCACTTTTTTTTTTGTCGTGACCGTTCTTATGCTTCTATTACAAAGAAACCCCTAATTAACTGTCCACTCAATTTTCAGCTAGTTTTCTGATGCCTCCTACCACCCGTTATCATTATTATTTGTTTTCATA